GACTAGCGGCTTGGCGCCAGACGACCATTTTAATGCGGCTTTAATAAAACTGCATCAGCTTACGACTATTTTAAGTGGGCGACTCGTTTCCTGATCCATTCATCTGTTGTGGCGAAGTCTTGCAGATTGCCAGCGCATTTATAAGTTGCCCATTACCTATTTACGCAAAATAAATATGGAAGTCTATCCGTTTATGGGCGCCATTTAAAATATATTGAGTTATTCTCTTATTCATATCTAGAGGTTTTCTCTTTTATAACAGCGAATGTATCTGAGCCATTGTGGGTAAGGTAAAAAAATGTTTATTGATTTATGAAATTTTAAAGCTTTTTTGGAGCATTTTTCATGAGATTGAGATTTTCTTTAGGTTGTCGTAGATCCCTTCATAAAAGAATTGTTTTCATTCTTTTATGCTCTAAATATTGTGTTTGACTCGATAGCGATACCAACCGCTCAGTTCTGCAAATTGAGCCGTAAAAGCGCGCCTGAGTAAAAACAAACATAAAAAATATTAGCAGAATTTATTAACCCGATCCCTAATCTGATTGAACATAAATAATCGAATCTCCGAACGCAATCAGATAAATTAATGGGTGTGGAATTCGTTTTATAAACTTAACGAGATTGGGCGGACGTTCCGCGCAGGCGTGTTAACCCTTTGCGTACTACGCGAGTGAACTGCGACCTTCGTAGGTCCATTCATTGATTTTCAACCCGCTGCCATATGGGGCTAAATCGGGCGAAAAGCCGGCGGACAGGTGACTTGGCATCCTGCACGTGGCATACACCACAAAAGTTTTATTGTATAGATGCGTACTGTAGGTACAATCGCATACTCACATAATTAACGCAGCCCTGATTGGCACAGGTTATTGTTTTGCTTGTGTGGATAATTCATTCAATGCTCTACTGGAATCATAAGTGTTTAAATTGTCAAAAAAATTAGTTATTAACATAATAATAAGTGCTACGAACGGGTACCTACCTACAGGTAAGATGAAAATATTCTTGAAAGTAGAAGTATATTTTAATAAACCACAGTATGATGTAAGGATGAATGGTTGTTTTTAATATGTATTTTCTTAGTTACTTTATTTTTCATCTGGCTATTGGCGCCAATAAATCGGTACCTATTAATTTATTGTTCTAAGCTCATTGCTTACTTAATAAATAAAACTGTTTATTGAGGTTCTGATGAATGGCATGACGGTATAACCGCAAAAACAGAGTAATATTTATTTAAATCTCCTTGTATGCTATATTGTGGTTTAGTAAAGTTTAAGTTTGCCTTTGAAGAAACGTAGCGTTTCATCTTTTCAAGGTTTATTTCGGGTTCAGTGAGCACAATAGGGAAAATTGTGTGGAGCTAACAGCGAGTTTAAATCCGCTAATTTTAAGGTCAGACACTGACCTCACTGGCATAGACGGGTTACGTGCGCTATGCGTCTAAAGGTGGCCAAGCTTTGGCCATAATAAGCAGGACATGGTGTTTTATCCTCTAACTGGAGTGACTGACCAGATCCTCAATCTCGAGCTAAAAGCGATAATTTGTGTGATTTCAAAGAAATGCTTAGTTAAACAGTGGAATGTAAGGATCAATGGTATAATATTATGCTAGTTATGTACTTAGTCATTGCAGCAGCATATTATCATAACACAGTCACAGAAGCCACAGCTTTTCTAAAGCTGTTCCTTTCAATTCAAATTTTTGATTAATAATAAGGTTCAAGTTACATTTTTGGATTTTACACATAATAATCGGGTCATAAAATTTGATGGAGTCTTAGGCTGAGTTGCACCATCTTACTATAACTTTAACAAACGTCAAAGATCTGTCAAACCCCATACAAATATAACACCGGTTATCGTTATAGTTAGAGGCGGTGCAACTCAGTCTTAAATACTACATAGCTCTATCCGCGCTCTTGGTCACCCTGTATGCGCCCGCGCACAATGCCACGCGATTCCGCGAACCATGGCGCCGTGATTCACGCATCCGGCTCGACCGCATCTTTGTCATCTGACGGATCAATGTAAGACGGACCCCTAAAGCTCACGAAAGTGGTTCAAGATCAACGTACACTTACTTCCGTGAATTCAAGGGTAAGAGGTTCTGTAACAGAATTCAGACCACGCATACAGTCTACCAAAGACTGCTTATCCTCACTTTGTTGTTGTAATTTTATAGTCAAGCTTTTAGCTGCGGCTTTTCCCACGTGGATTTTCTAATTACTCGTTATTTATAGCATATATGTACGAGTATGTCAATCAGGAATGTAGCATTTTACTGTTGAAAGAATTTTCAAAATCGGTTTAGTCGTTTCAGAAGTTGCTTCCTACCTACAAACACACTCAAACAAGTTTACCACTTTTAAATAGAGTAGATGAATTGAATTGATGAAATAATAAAATAATGAGACGATAATTTAAATTCTGGTTTAAATAATAATATGACGCTATTAAAAAAGATATGACGGATTATTCCTAAAGGAAACATTATCATAACGTCATTATGCAACACCAAAAACGCATCGGTCAGATTCCCAGAATAATTTTCGACCAAACACGTCTCCGACTGCTCTCAGACGTTGCACTCTTGATATGACGTCACTACGATGATCGCGGAGTGACTCACACAGGCAAGTTCCAATAAATATTATTTAGTTAGTTGTTTTGATTGTTTGAGTAGGTGTAGGTTATTGAAGCTGTAATTTCAGTAACATTATTCACGTCGCGGAGAGCGCATGTCGAGAATTAATTGCCTGCTAATTTTAATTTAGAATCGCGTTCAGTTGAACATTAAGTTAAGCGTAAAACGTGTGTTAAAATAACTCAATGCCATCGTGTGTTAAAGTGACGTTTATTGAGGAGTTGATCATGTGTAATTGTAAGATTTCGCGTAAAAGCAGCGCCAGGAAAAATGCTAAGAAAACGGTTCGTATTTTTTTCCCTGATTAATTAAGAATTACTTAGGGATAAGTAGGATACCAGTAGGTATAACTCAATAGGCCATCTGTACATATTTGAATACCATATCAATTTCAACACATTGCAAATCAAGGGTAATAAATATGCGCGTCTTATTTATTGAATGCACAATGAGGATCAGTACTGTTGTAGAAAATTCAATAAAACTAGTATCTACGTTAATCTTTAAGACATAAGAAAGATATATCTTTTTGAATTATCCAAATCGGACCATTACTTACGAAGATATTAAGTAATAAACATAGGCCGTTTTTGCCGCTAAAAGTCAACGTACGCAGGGCCGCGTGACGTCACTATATCCGAATCGAGCGCAGCCGGCGTACTATTGGGATGGAAAATATTTTTTTCCAGCTAAACTATCAGTTTTAGAAAAAAACTTTTAATAACATTTATTCATCAAAATAAAGTAACCTATCGATCAGTAATTTTTAAAAATAAAAATTGTGAAAAGTAAGTATCGCTATGTCCAAAAACCACATTTTCATAGGATTCGATGCAATGCGGAGACGCGGTTGGGGTGAGTGTAACTTAATGATTGTTTGTATTGAACATAATAATACATAATATGATGCTAATACCCAGTTTCTGGCCTGGGGGGGGGGAAAATTACCTATCGATAGCTTACTTTATTCTGATGAATAAATGTCATTACAAGTTTTTCTCTAAAACTGATAGTTTGGCTAGAAAAAAATATTTTCTATCCACGCAGTACGCCGGCAGCGTTCGGATCGGATATAATGACGTCATCGTCCCCGCGCCGGGCGGTCAGTGAACTTTTTTAGTAATTTGGCCATAACTTCGTCAATTTTTGTCGTAGAACAAAAATTTTTGGACTGTGTATTAAGGATTTCTTAGCCCTATAAATCTGCATTCACAGCTAAAAATCGAAATGATCCTCATTGCACATTAGGTGCATACGCGGTTGTTAGACCTCCATTGAGCTAGCATTATCAGTTGCATAAATGATTGCGTCGGAAACGGACATGGCCTGCCCCAACAAACGGTACAGCCGCCTCTTGCACAATGCAATCTGCCATTATCGGCTGATTTGGGACGCGTACGTAGGGTTGCCACCTATAAAAAGGGTAGACACTTATGAATGGGCATCAGATTTACGCTCCGAAAATCGGAGAGTTCTGAGACATAAATTACGTTGCAATTTTTCAAATTTTAGCACTCTCATACCTACACTAGTTCATTCAGTAGTCATCGTCTACACGTTTGCCTCCAGTCCCATAAAAAAATCACGCCTATAGGTAATCCACACAAAAGGCATTTCAGCGATTTTTCAACAATTTACCTACTCATTTTATAAACATACCATAAATTCGATTTGATTGACGAGAAACATTCCGGGACAATTACCTAATGGCACCATAAATACAAGTTGATACTGAAACCCTAGTCCAGATCTTAGTTCCAACTGCCAACCCTGGAGATGCATTGCAGCTGCGCGAGCGCATATGCGCCAAATGTGGGCGCGACGGTGTCGAATGCTAATAGCCACGTATAATAAGACGCACGCGTTTACCCCACGACCGAAAACATTTGCTCATATCCCTCTATTCATGTGCCGTATTATGATGATACTCGTGCAACGGTATTTGAGAATAATGTTTGTTGGAATTCAGCAACAATTTCACGTGCTGTTTTGCTTAGTTAACTACCAATCAATAAAAAAAATCCAGCAACTACGAATATATCTAAAAATGATACCTAATGTTTATCAAACTTTAAATTAAGTACCTATACTGGTTTAAGAAGCTTCGAAAATGGTTGGTGTACAAAATTCGAGTGGTGCTGCTTTACAGACCTCTTTCTTGAATAAACAAGCTGCTGTTATCATAAAGTTACAGGCCACTGCTGGACGTGCTTCTCTCTGTCCTAAGGCTCGCCAAAGAGCACGATCTCCCCTTTCTTCATCAAGCCTAGAAAGAACATAGCAACCTTGCTAGTTTCCACGAGAAATCCCAAAAGAGCTGAAGCTAATAATACTCCATCTTTTGTTACAGTGCATGGCGCGAGCTCTATACGACAATATCGCGGAGTCACCAGACGAGCTGGCCTTCCGGCGCGGCGACTTGCTGACCGTCCTCGAGCAAAACACGGGAGGCAGCGAGGGCTGGTGGCTCTGTTCTTTGAGAGGGAGACAGGTAAACATTCACCTACTACACTTCTTCTGATTAATTTCGTTGCGGGTCCAATGACAGTTTAAATTTCCCCCGGGACAAACTTGGCCTTCAATTGTTGGGTTTTTGTTGGCGGTCAAGCTGTAGATCTTGGCTTCACAGGATTTGAAGGGGTGGGATTGTCCTTGGACGAATAAAGGAATAGTCCCATTACTACCTACACCTCTGTAACTGGCTTTTTTTGCTTAAACTAGGTACTGTAACTGGCTTTTCGTATGCCCCGTACAAGCTTCTTTAACTGCATAATCGCACCCTTAAAAATCGTTTACTTTTCTGCGCTTGCCGCTCCTCATTATCTGCACTATGTACTGGGTACAGTTCGCAAGACCCTAGTTAAGCCACTGCTTTACACAGTAGAGAAATCAATTCTTAACTTCGAACTCGTATTTTGTTCTGATTCATTTACCTTAGATGATTAGTAGAACTAGAACTACCTACCTATTAGGTGTCGGGGTTTACAAGAGACTTTAAGAGTAGGCGCACCGCACCACACACCGTTGATTTTTAGTTGGCCGATAGTTGTGCCCAATTTAAAATTTGTATGAAGAATCGGCCAAATCGAATCGGCGTCGTGTGCGCACTCCCATACATGCCCATACTGTTTAACTGCCCGACTAAACTATCGGCCGACGAAAAATCAACGGTGTGCGCCTACTCTTATATTACCTCATTTGAGAGACGACGTGACCATTACAGTAAATACCTAGAGGGAATTATGGAATGAAATATGAATCCGATCAATCATCCCCGATGCATGACATAATCTCACTATGAGCACACGTGTTCTGACGAACGAGTGACTCTACCCATAGGCCAGTAGAATTAAACACAAAAATGAATTAAATCGGAAATAATGTGTTTATTTACAAGTTTAGAAGAATTAGAGAATTTTAATTAAAATAATTTAAAATCAGCTGAAAACCTTCAGCTCTTTCCTCTCCTAATAAGTAAGTAAAAAAAACTTAACACCTAAAATAGAAGTAGACTACATACAGGAGTACAAACACTAGCGCTATTTAAGTCACCAAAAGAAGTTTCAAGCTCTCGTAACGCGCAAGAACTGTTTGGATTTAAACTAAATTCACTTAACAGACTGTTCCGTCGCTAAGACGTTTGCCTGACGAGCGACGATAGTTTCAAGGTGCTGCGGTATTTTGGTCGATAAGATAGGAATTAGTGGCGCTGGCACCCAGACGTAGTAACTACCCTTTGTGCAGAACTAGACGACGCTCTAATACCTTCAGAACGTCCCAGTTAGAATTTGCCATTGTAAACAGACAAGCAAGTTTCAATTTTGACTAGTCCAACTATACGGGACTATTCCCACCTCTCGTTCCCACCACTGCAACTCCTGTGTAGCCAGGATCTACAGCTTGACCGCCACAAAAACCCAACCAATGAAGGTCAAGTTTGTCCCGGGGGAAAGTTAAACTGTCATTGGACCCGCAACGAAATTAATCAGAAGAACATAGGAGGAGTTCGAAATTAAGGTTCGACTTCCCTCCATTGCAAAGCGGATGACAGGTGACAAACAAAGGTTTAAAACCTTTAAGAAAAAGATTATGCACCACGGACAATAAATTAAATTAAGGGGGCCTATCTTATGAGCAATTAGCAACTACCTGCCAATAATATTTTTCACAAAATCGCTTAAAAGCACGGAAATTTTTCCTTGTCGCGACAAGATCGGTGTAATAAATTGCGGAAACAGATGTATGTTGTATTGAATTAAGCATTATATCACGTTCATGTTTCCAAAGATCACACTCCCACAAGATATGATGGGCAGACTGCTCATGACTGACATCATCAGTGGAACACTCGCAAAAAGGAGACGGAACTAGTTTGAATTCGTGAAGTTTATGTTTAAAGTTGCCATGTCCCGTGAGGAACTGCGACGAGCAATGGTCGATTTCTAACCAGTCCAGTCCAACTATAACTAACATTCATTATTATCGGCTGCATTAATCATGCCGAGCATTTAAAGTTATTTTAGTAAAATGTTTCAATAACGAAATCCTGACCGCACAGTCTTGGTTTCTCTTTAACTTGTATTAATCCAGTAAAACCGCAAGCCAAAAGTTAATTTTACTGAATGTGACCTTAAATTGTAATAAGCCGAAAATGAACTCATAATGTCAAAATGGCAATGGAAGGTTATTCACACGTATGAGTTGTTTTTACCTTAATAGATAGGTCCCATGACGCATCAATGGCCGATATGGGAGTTGTACTCGGTGTAGGCATAACACGCACTCCATGGATGATGACGCATCTCACGTAGACACTATTGACACTAATTCCAAACGTCATTAAATAGACCGATAACTTGTGAGTATTAATTACGTATAGGGACACATCTGAAATTAATACACATTTCAAAGGCTATTAGATAATAATTATAGAAGCAACTTTGTTGATACTTACCCTAAACATTTGATTATGTCCATATTCACCCGGAGGTCCTGTGTTCGATTTTTAGGGCCACTCTCCGTCTCCAATGCCACCATATTTCTGTAAATGTTCTCCTCTTGTCCCATCCGAGAGTGACTAGTGGTTCTGTGAACGTAGCTCCAACCTATGTCAAGTAGTCCATGAACATGGGCTTAACGTGGCCCAAGGGAGGGCACTTGAGTGCAGTCTGATCCAGGATGGGACAGTAGATTTTTTTAAGCAGGATCCCCTGCTCATATGGACAATAATTCATAACGAATAAGGTGACCATGTAGAAGCTTACAATTCCCGTTTGTTTCCAGGGAATATGTCCGGGCAACCGGCTGCGGATAGTGGCGGGTGTGTTCGATGCAAGCGCCATGCAGCGGCGGCGCGCGCGCACGCCCGCGCCTGTTGCGCACCAGCCGCTGCCGGCGCAGCAGTCGCCGGCGTTTACCAAAGTGAGTAACATTCGACTTTATTATTATGACAACTAAGCTGAGTTCAGATCAAAGACGATTTTATTACGAAAATAATTCTCTCGATTTTTCAATGTTTACATAATATCAAGGGTCTCCTCTCCCTGTTTTCACCTTTTTACCAATCTGGGCTAAAGTAGAGGCATGTCTTTACCTGGAGCAGTTTTTTATCATTCTCTTTATACCCTCAAAGTACAAAATCGCATGGAAATTCTACAATATCTGCAATCAAGTATTTCAAAAATCTCTTAATTCTTTTCCAGATCGAAGAATGTTCACATTACGACGTACCCCGAGCCCCGATGCCGGTGCAACGGATCGGGAACTACGACTGCCCGCGTCCGATCGCCGACTGGTACGACGCGCCAAGGGCTCCCCGGCCCGCCAGTGCCGACTCGGCTTGCAGTGGCACTGGGAGCCTCACTTCTGCCACGTCTAGCGCGTCGGCGAATTCTGGCAGCTCAGTACATTCTGCCGCGTCGGCGTCGAGCACGTATGACGTGCCTCGGTCGCGGGCGCTGCCGCTGCCGTGCGACGCGGCGTTGGAAGCTTTAGAACGATTACAAGTACGTATCAGAATAATGCCAGAATGCCTGATAAGAGACGTTGAAAATTACAGCAAAATTAACTGTCTCTTAACTCTACACTTTTGCCAACGCTAGTACGCTGAGCGTGTAATTATTGAGAAAAGATCCAATATTGGCGAAATCTTCTATCAGCAAATACATCTGCTAGGATCTTTTAGTGTCCTTTGGGTTATTGGGTATCTTCTGCATAGATTGAGATTGTATGCCCAAAGCATTGATACATTTACATGTCCTTTTACCAGGAGAAAGCATCAGCAGCGATATCCCAGCTGCTGTAGTTTTGTTTGCCCAAACAGATATTTTACCAGGTTTCCTGCACTTACGAATTTGCCTTAATCACCAATATTAAAGTCCACTTTATTTTCACCAGGAGGAAGCGTCAGCAGCGGTATCCCGGCTGCTATCCTACGTGACGCCGGGCTGGCGGCGGCGGGGGGCGTTACGCGCGCGAGTGTTAGACGTGCGCGTGGCCGGTGCAAGACTCCGCGCCGCGCTACACGACCTAGCCGTGTTCGCTGACGCTACGCTGGCTAACGCGCATGATGCGCAAGACAAAGGTTGGTAGACTTGAAGTGATCAGTATCCCGTCTACTATCCTACGTGACGCCGGGCTGGCGGCGGCGGGGGGCGTTACGCGCGCGGGTGTTAGACGTGCGCGTGGCGGGTGCAAGACTCCGCGCTGCGCTACACGACCTGGCCGTGTTCGCTGATGCTACGCTGGCTAACGCGCATGATGCGCAAGACAAAGGTAGACTTGGAAGTAATTTATCTTAAAGGCTTTTTACTCCAGTATTTTTTCCAACAATTTTACGAGACGAAATTGTCACATGCGGGGCTCGCCGTGATAAAATCTATGATCCTATCTATGATTTTACGTAGACGGCAAATGTGACATTTATCGCGTAAAATCGACAAAATGGCGCGATAAAAGGTTATTGCGCGCATCTTACACCTAATGCATGTGGCATTCGACTCACGTCTCGCGTCGAATCGAAATCTGTGTTTTCGCCACACCGAAAATTCAGAACTGTGCTTACCATGAGTTTACGTTAGGTGTGCTCGCTAGCGACTGCGTAAAAAAATGACATTAACTGTATGACATATTGTGCAGCGCCCCTAGCGGCTACTTTCAAGAAACAAAATCTTCATAGAGATTTTTGACGTACTCGCTAGCGAGCACACCTAACGTAAACTCATGGTAGGTGCACTGATTCTATGTCATGAGCGCTTCGGTTGCATGAATTAAAAAAAAATATATCTAAGGAGGCGTAGTGATAGGATATGTTTTGAAATTTTGTAAGCAAAGTCATCTCTTCTTTCATTCCGCAATAACACAAGCTATATTAATTCCAGGTATCGCAGTAAAATTAAGACCCCTAGTGAAAGCGCTGAAAGACGCCGAGCGCATAACGCACGAGGCGACGAGCGCGCTAGACGCCGGCGACTGGGCGCCCGAGCGTCTGGAGCGGGACCGAGAGCCCACGGACGGGACGCAAGACGCGCTCGACCAGCTGGTGGCGTGTGCGCGGTCCTTAACAGAGGACGTGAGGAGAGCAGCCTCGTTTATCAATGGAAATGCGTCGTTACTATTTAGGTGAGCATAGAATTTTGTATAGAAATGTGTCATCAATAGTTGTGACACCAATAGTTGTGTGGTTAGCCGTATGGTGGCGGCAGAGTAGAATACATTTATCACCAACACCTACTCTTCCCGCGGGTGTCGTAAGAGGCGACTTAGGGACTACACATCAAACAGAGAACGGGCAGCAGCGTTTTCTGAAAAACATCAACCTTTTAAACTGCTATCTCCAACCCGCCTGCCAAGCGTGGGAATTATGGCAAAAGGCTCATAGTCCAGCAGTGGACTGTAAAGGGATGGTGATGATGATAGTTGTGAATCTGACAACTGAAGTATTGAAAGAGAGAAGTTATCTATGAGTCCTAAAATGACTTTCGTATAGTGCCTAATTCGCAAAATGGTACCCTACCTCCGAGTCTTGAAAGGACTAATTCGCGAATGGACTAATTCTTAGATGCACGTATTATGCGAGCGGGTATTATGCGACTAAACGCCTAAATTTTGTCTTAACCCAGATCTTCTAGGAAACACATTTATTGCACCTTATAGCTACAGAGGAGAGTCATCTCTTTCTTCCATCAGTTCTACATTACTTGCTTTAACTTTTCTGGGACTCCATTACATGCGTTTGCCACTGCTTGGGTTTTCTTTACTGTACGTACGGGCATTGGAACTTCCTCGCTAATAGTTCCAAGAGTTGCGCATCTACGTTCCATCTCGAAGCTACAATTCTCTTTCCAAATTCCAGACGATCAGCAACAGTCCCAGTGCCGGAACACGAGTGGACCGAGGAATACGACTATGTGCGGCTAGAATCGCGCTCGGCTGTGGGACGGCGGAATGCGGAGATTCGCGCCGCCTTGCCTGATAAGCTACGCGCCTCCTTCGACGCGTTGGTTAGAGACGCTGACCATGCAGGCGAGGTAAGCTTGAAACTATTTTCTTTATTTTTTATTTTATTTAAATTTGGAATGCGGACTTGCGCCGCGTGCCCTACAAGCTACGCGCCTCCTTCGACGCGTTGGTTAGAAACGCTGACCACGCTGGCCAGGTAAGCTAGAAACTATTTTCTTTTTTCTTTGTTTCTTTTTTTAAATTTTTAACGCGGAGATTCGCGCCGCCTTCCCTGTTATGCGACGCGCCTCCTTCGACGCGTTGGTCGAGACGCTGACCACGCTGCACATGCTGGCGAGGTAAGCTTGAAACTATTTTCTTTTTTTTTTAAGTTTTGAATTCTTGTTCTCGAACATTCAGTCATCTGCTGTTGTTGTATACTCACCATGTTGGCAGTGCTGGCACAGATGTAGTTCTTGGTCTCGAATCATCGATTAGACTTTTGTTGCCTATGAACTATAGTGCCCAGAAAACAGCCTGACTTGATCTGCTGTACGAGGATAGCTGACTATGTATCGTTTAGATGAAACTTAGCTAGATATCAAATATTTGTAAGGTGAATCTCCTTTTCACACTATTGATGTTATTTTGCTGGCGGTTTTTCATCCTCAACTAAAAAGATCCACAATATTTACAAGGTCTTCTGACGTCTTAAGCAGTTGGCTATTTTTCTTTCTGAAGTAAAAACAGTTTAGTTTCCACCATCGTTTCAAGGTCTCACGTAGACGTTGGCATCAGTTTCAATCCTTCTTGTATCTTTCTTCGTCCATAGATTAAGTACACACAAGCTAGCATCAGTTCTTATCCTTATTTTGTCTTTGCTTGTCCACAGGTGAGCGCAGTAGCGGCCGCGACCCGTCTTCCACCCGACGACAGACAGCTAGCAGCGTTCTACGCAGCGCAGACCGCGACATACGGCGCGCATCTCGCCACCGCGGTTGAGGCGTTTTTGCGGACTATTGAGATGGGCCAGCCGCCCGATGTGTTCCTTGCACACGGGAAGTTTGTGGTCCTGAGCGCGCATCGGATAGTGCACGTTGGGGACACAGTACATAGGTATGTACAAATTTTGTTTTTTTAATTTATTGCAATTAAGATAAGACAGCCTTTCTGATATGAAATTGTGTCTTGTTAGGTAATGATGACGTTTTTTGAGACACTTTTTTTTTTCTCCAGGAGCGCCCAACACGCAAGTCTAAAGTCCCGAGCGTTACGCTGTTCCGACGCCCTCTCAGACGCGCTCGCAGCGACAGTCGCCAAAACGAAGGCAGCCGCCCAGCAATTCCCTTGCGCCAGCGCCGTCGCGGAAATGGCCGAAGCCGCGCGAACGCTCGCGGCCCGCGCTCAGGATCTCCGTAGAGTACTCGTGCGAGCCGCCGACCCGCCCCCACACCCCGACACCCCCCTAACACCGGCCACAGCCGTCGCCCCCTCGGCCCCCACCACACCCCTCACCCCTCTAACGCCTCACAACAACTCCGGCACACCCTCGCTTGCCGCTCTCCAAATATAAAACCGACTCCCGCGTCCCACAGACGCTTTACATTCCCAAATCGCACCGATTCACTTCCAGATCGGGTCCGGTCTGGAAGAACCCCTTGATGTTTTATAACAAGTACAGGGTAACCCAGTCCAGATATTCGGCGTTTATCTGGAATTATTCAAATCGAGAGAAAGTCGTTTTGTGCGCAGGCGCCTTTACAGACGACGTGGACCGTCACCGTATAGACGTAACGGAGAGGAGAGCACGGCGGGGTGTGGACGGATTTATTGATTGTCACTATTTATACGATAGTTTATCGATGTATTATAAGGACGACGCTGAAGTGACAAGAGGCTGGTCACGTCAGCGGAGGATATAAATTAACGTAAACTAGGATGACCACCGGCTAGATGGCGCGACGATCAGCGTAGGGTGGCCGATGACAGACGTGGCGGACCCGAGACCGGGCCCGCGGACGAGTGTGAGCTAAGAGTAAATTATTGAGCTGCTTTCGGCAGCACAGGAGCCTTTTCGCTTGAACGCGATTAGCGCTATATTACCAAAGAAATTTTCAAGATAGGACGTACAATACGACAACGTAGACTGCCAACACGATGACGAATAACCGAGTTTCTATTTAGATTTTAGCATAAATATATATTATGGTAAATCAAGGCTGCCATTAGAACATTTTATTTTATTGACGGAACGATATTTGCACCTGACTAGAGAAACGAGTTTTTAATTGCTGGATGCTCATTTAGCTGTAGTGAGTTGAGTTGTCCGTCCAGTTTTATACAATTTTGCAACAATATTGTAACTTTTGTAGCATGTGTATGTGAGTTATAATGTGCGACATTATTTTGTCGAGGGCAATAGTTGTTTCGAAAGATAACGAGTTATTATTCCGGTAGGAACCACTTGGCGACGCGTCGCATCGCTTCCAACCTAGTACTTAGTACTTAATGAGCCGGTAAACTGTTTTTAACTATGCTGTGAGCATTTAACGTTATGGCGCTTGACAATTTACTGATATCTGAATGTTTGTGAAGAAATGCTCAGTTTAACAAGACTTTTGTATTTTCAAGTCACGGACTGTACTTGAAATTAGGCACATAATACAGAGCTGTATTAAACGTGATGTGAATAGACAAGTATAGTTTGTGGCTCTGGACAATAAACATCGAAGTTACAATAAATGTTCTAACTATTAGTATACAGAAAACGTTCCTTGAAACAGAACCGACAAAAAGGTTTGTACTTCAAATTCCTGACGAAATGATTCCTAAGTCTGTTTACGTGCCATAGTGTTGTGGATTGCATAAAAAGTACAAACGCAATGCCAATTAAACTGCATTGCACCAATACCGTAACTACTGCAGTGACACCGTCGCAAAACATAAATACACCTATGTAAAACTGATTTTTACTTTTGGAATTGAATTAATTTTCAGATTTTAATTCAATTCGACGGTCGCAAAACGCAAAACCGTGGCTCGTAAGGACTAAACTAACGCAATATTTATTGAAACAATTTACTTGACTGACTCAACCGTTAGCTATTATGCTCAATTATTGTACTAAATTATTTTAAAGCTCATCTTTTATATACTTACTTGTGGCTTGTCTTTACTTAACGTTTATCTACTACTTACTAGCGTTATTGTATGTATGTACGTACGTACCTACATTTTGTACTTATACATGGCGTAAGTAGATAAATGTAGGATATGATATCAATGTAAAAACATGTTGTATATTAGTGATGTGTAATATATTTCATAGACGTTGTAGTTTAGTTAGGTATAGAGAAATTGTACAAATGCATATTAAAATAATAATTTTTATTGAATTGTAATTTAATCATCTTGTAAAACGCAATCAAGTAAAATATACAAAGTTTTCGTATCTAATGTCTTTTGTTTAATTTTATAACGAAACCCAAGTATTTTTTTCATTTAAATCACTTCACTGCAAGTGTTTATTAACTTATGACCTAAGAATTATATTATCACTAACATAGAGTTAAGGACTCTAACAAAATGAAAAGTACTTTGTGATTTAAACAAATGCATATCTATGATTTGTGCTTAAATTATAACAGTCTTTTCAGTTTTATTATAATGTAATAATTAAGTAACTGAAAACAAATTGGCAATATCACCAGGCCATTTTAAACGATAATATTCATTAGTACCTTAGTAATAAAGTCTCAAGTCTGATGGCAGCTATCGATGTACCGCTGCGCACGCGTTTCTTCTGACGTGTATTGTAACGCAGGGTGTCCCTCAGGGAGCTTTGAAGCCGCCGCTACCGCTTTCAAACGCGCAGCTCGCAGAAGTAGCTCTGTCTCTGTCGCTCTCGCCTCCGCTATAGTTGCCTCCGCAAGGATAGCATTTTCTATCCTCTTCTTTTCTAACTGAAATGTGTATGGGGTCTTTGTTAAAAATGAAATATGGATTTGGGGAGATTTTTCATTAAAATTCAGTCCAGGGATATTTATTTATTTAATAAAAAGGAAATTCGGACATTATTCTCGATTGGTGATGGGTTTTGCAAGAGAATCGTCACTCCAGCATTTATGTAACTTTACATATTTTATCTATCCTCTATCTATACTATAAAAATACTAACCTTTGCATTTTCCAATTGGTACTTCAGTATCTCCAATTTTAGTTTGGTTATTTCATTGTTATTCGAATTGCTAATTGTATCAATATTCATTAATCCTGCAAAGTAAGAAGAGATCAATAATTATAACATTCAGGAACAATATTTTTGATGTGACCAAAAGCATTTTTATTGTGTGTAACCCAGTATCAAAATCAAATCATTATACAGTTGTAAGAAGTATTTGTTGCATTATTGGTATGCTCTTATAAAACAATAATCATCTGAATTGGTTAACAATAATTAAAATAAAGTAAATATTTACAACCCGAGCTAACTAACGCACCTCGCTGGAATGCGACTCTCCCTTCCACTTATCCTCACCCCTCCCCGTGTTAGCCGTTCGTACCAGAAGGCCTAGTGTGAGTTTTCATCAAACGCGCTCACTAGCGAGCGCGTCAAAAATGACATTAAATGTATGACGGATTGTACAGCGCCCCTAGCGGGAAACGTTCAAAAACTAAAATTTTCATACATGTTTTAAGGTTAGACCAGACCAACGCGTGCAGCCGGCGTGCACGATGACGATGGCGATGGCGACCAGACAGCGTGTATGAATTTGTAGCGATGTGTTCACATCAACGCGTCCTGTCATTGGTCGCGGCGATCTATGCAGCGTCTGCACGCAGCGATCAGCGATCATCGCGACATTTGTCACTGTGACGTTTCTGTTTTTTAAAATCGATGTAATAAATAGTAAGTAGGATCTGTTAAAAAGTTTTTACACAATTAAAAATGAATTATTCATAACATACCACTAGTCTGACCTACTTGAATAATAAAAAAGGTTTTAGAATAAAGTATCAATATCAGAATTTATTTTTATGTAATAAACAAATTATTCTAGTTTTCTTGAGAACCTGCTTCTTCAAATTCATAAATAAAATTGGGATATTATCTGCAGAACAAAATAATTGAGAATGTACATGTCTGCAGCTTTCTAAAAGGCCCTAGAGTAGAGATGGGTAGTGGGTAAAAACCCATTTCACCCGATTGGGTTAAAACCGGGTGATTTGGGTAAAAACCCGGTTTTTACCCATTATCACCCATTCTGGTGGGTGAAAACAAAAATAGCTTTTTTTTAAAGTGAGAAGTGGTATTTGTTGCTAAGGGGGCATTCTAGTGTCACGTATTGCAATCTGGGGGGAGAGGAGGTCTTGAAAAACGTTACAATGCGTTACAGTGGCGGAAGGGCGGTTCGATTTCAAGTTTTTAAGCAGAAGTACTTTGTAGTTGGTGTTGTTATTTGTAACTTTATACCGTAATGTCATCAAAGAGAGAGTTTGGCATCTTTGGCATCCCCCCCCTCCATGTCCTTGCCATGATCACAAATTATTGTGTTCCTACTAAATTTCTTCTAAATCGGTTCAACGATTCTTGAAATAACACCATTATATAAAATAATTGGTCACATCATCATAACGTGATCAATTTTACGATTTGGCCACGATATAAATGCATATTAGTGTTAAATTTGACTTATTACTTATTAATCAATAAACTTAAATGAGAAAAATTCAATAAAAATAAAGAAAAGATACCAATTGAAATAATTATAAAATTATTTGTTTTCACCCGGTGTAAACACCCACGGGTGGAATGAAACGGGTTTTTATTGGGTTTTTACCCTCATGTGGGTTTTTACCCGGGTGGAAACCCATCTCTACCCTAGAGCAATTCTAAGTACTTATGCCATAAATAAAAACCTAATTAAAGTCATCAAACGTCTCAGTCATTAATTTAGTGCCACTAGAAACACCTAGTTGATCAAAACTGGGTTTTTTGGGTTATTTTTAAAGACAAAAAAGATATTTGGACTATTATGTACTCTGTGGTTTGGGTGCATAATGTAATTTCCTTTGCCTTAAAAAAAGTAAATGTCAAGATGACTGTTGCACCAAAAAATAAAATGAAAATTGATTTTGATAGATGTTGTGTTGAGTTCTGTGTAGTTTTGTGCGATTTAACGATAAGAACGACAATGGTAAAAGATAATGGGGGCAAATTTTTTCAGTCGAGGAAAAAGATGAATTGGTTATAATCTTACTTGCCCACAAGGATACTGTACGAGCACGTCAGCATCGACCGCGACGTACAACATGCTAGCCGATTGGCCCATGAACCCTGAACGAACGTGCACCGTAGGCACTCTACACCGACGGCACATTGGACTGGACACATTGAATTGTGTACACTATGTAAATCTTGTATATAGCAATAGCATAACAGTAATAAACCAGATATCAACCGTCCGCGTTGTGTTTCATTTCCCCCACTGAGGCCAAGAAAGCCTTAGTGCAGTCCTCCTTCCTATCAAACCTTTCTTTAAATCTAATTAAAAGGTTAGGGCTCTAGGGACTACAAACGAAGCCAGAAATATAGCTTGGTTATGAGTTACCAATACCTACTACCAATAGCGCATGTAATCCTGTCTCATTCTATAATATATGGCCGCCTGAATAAACTTGAGTGAAAAAGTGTTTCCACTGTCTCAATTGCATCAAAAGCTCCAAACAAATCATTTAATTCAGTTTCCATTTTGCCGAATAGGTAGACGTGATTGACAATATGCATGACAGTTGTGGTGACAGTGACAACCTGCACGCGCAGTGATCGACATCGCGGTCGCGGCAGTGTGAAACAACTTTTGCACGCGCAGTGGTCGCCATCGCCATCGCCATCGCTGCACGCGTTGGTTTGTCCGAACCTTTAAACGCGCTCACTAGTGAGAGCGTTTGATGTAAACTCACACTCAGCCCACAGAGCGTCGATGTGACGTACCGCCCGCCATGTGCGCAATGAGGGCTATCGTTTTTATACTTAACAGTTGGCACCCCTGGCGATTGACAGGACCTTACTCTACAGTAGCGCCATCTTGTTGAGTGCAAATGCGATAGTCCTCCTACCACTTTAGCGCTCACCAGTTGGTGCCACTGTCTTCGCTACTAGCAAGTGACAGGACCTTACTCTACAGTGGCGCTAAAACGATAGCCCTCATTAACTCGACCGGGTATAGAACCCGGTGGTTGGTTCATAAAGAATCATGTTTCAAGGAATTATTACCTATTTCTGGTTCTTTGACGATTATACTAAGCGGATCAGGGGATTCTTTGGTGTTTACGGTTTTGTTTGTATTTTTTATGTCATTGTTTTCGTAATTTTGACCATGGTTGCTAGAAATATCTTCGTCTTGTTCACTTTCATCATTTTGTTGGATGTCATCTTTATCTTCTTTAAAAGTTGGTTCTATTTTTATTTTCTGAAATTAACATTAAATAAATATTTAACATAAAATAATAAAGCCTCATTAGTCTAATTATTATTTAAATACATTTGATAAATTTTCAATCAGATTTATGGCCTATGTAAATATATTTTGATATAGAATATTGTAGAATTGCAAAGACAGTATGGTGTAGACTGAGCTGTATTCACAATCCTAGCTAACAAAGGACGGTGTTTGAATATATGGTGTTCAGTGTCTGTGGAGATGCGGCCTAACTTGCAGTCAGCTATATGCTATAGAGTAACCTACTTAGAGTTCAACGAAATTCTACGTGCTCGCCGACCGGACTTTAACTGTCTCAGCTGACGTGGGAACAGTAGTTTGCATCGCTGACGACCTAAGCAGATAAAAAATGATGTACGGCGGAGGTCCTAAGGTAACGTAAAAATACTCTCATACCGCGATTGTCAAGTCACTGTCAGCGCCATCTATTGGTATTGGTGAGCGTTGGTACTTCTTTGTATTTAGTTGAACGTAGAATCTACGTCCATTGCGGAGTTACAAGCTTAAATTAAAAAAAATTAAACAGTTAACTCATTGAATTACCTGTATGTCATCTTTGATCAATTTTGGTATCACAAATTTATTTTTATCAGCGGAAATATCAATGTTTTTAGAACATGATCTCTTCATGTTGCTAAACTTTGTTCGGAGCATATTCACTGATCTTTTAGTTGGGCTTTGTCTATTAAAGTTCTTTGTAACCTGAAAGTAATGACGGTGAGAGTCGAATGCCTCGGAAGATATTTTATCCATTGCAAATATTTTGAACAGGCCTTGTTATTATTTCAAGAGATGGTATAAATGCTTACCCGAATCCAAGCATCATTTTTTAAGCAGAGAGCAGCACTGTTAGTTTCCTTTGAAAATATGTTCCTTTTTTCGGCTCTTATACACTTGAGAAGTAGGCTGCATTCATGTGCCGTAAAGTTCATGGACCGAGTAGCAAATTTGGCACTAAACATAAAGACATCGAGTAAAATATTAAGGCAAACTTAAACATTATTATTTAGAAAATGAAAAAAATTACCTCTTTTTATCATTTTCACCTCCTGAAACTGAAAATAATAATATAAACTTACTATTGAATTGCAATGTCTGATAATATCATTAACATTTAATGACAATATTTTATAAACCTGTACAAATTACAAACTTTTTTTTAAAACATACTCACACATCTGAGAATCCTCATCTTGTTTGTTATCACAATATTTCTCTAAGTCTGCTTTTCTTTCCTCCAAGTCTTCTTTTGTTTCCTCCAATTCTTCTGAAACACAATTGTAAAATATCTCAGAATAAACTTGTCATCTTGACATATTTCCCATACTGAAACTGTCCATGTGCCAGTTATACCAAAGTTATTCTCGTATTAAAGTTTGGTTGAATCGGGCCTAAATGGAATAGTACTAAAGCTTGACATTCACAGTCAGGAAACTGATATGCTTAGTGTTTACACTAAACATCATTGCTAGAACTGCATTAAAAAATGTCATGAAAAGTCTAACATAATACATACAGCGTTCTAAGCGGATACTTTTACTACACTTCTGAGATATTTTTGACACACTCACTAGCCACAATGTTCAATGCAAACTTACACTAAGCACACAGACAGTTGTAATAAAAATAAAGTGATGTGCTGTACTGACACAGACAGAAGATTTACACACCTGTATATGAAAGATATTTCTTTATGATTTTTTTAATTAACTTACCGTCATCCTCAGAGTCCTTTGTTAGTGGTGTCACATTTTTATTATGTTCCACTTCAGTTAGCATAGTCACTATTTGGCTATCAAAATCACTATCACCAACTTCAAGTAAGTTTTCAGATGCTTTTTTAGCGAATCTTTTAAGATTATCCCATTTCATTCTTAAACAACTCATACTTCTTTTATGTTCAAATGCTTTAGAATTGAATATTTTCGTTATTTTAGCCCAGGTCAGTTCTTTTGCATGGCAGGCAGTGGTATTACTTGATTTATTTAACAATACTGTTTTATATTTATCTATAAGTTCCAATAAAGTTTTGACTTCATTTTTACTAAAAGTTGGACTGCGGTGTCTCCTAAAAATCATAAAAAATATGTAACTTACAATAGTCTCAATTTGTGAAATATTACATCGACACTTACATCGATTGTGTCAGTAGATCTTTAAACCGCATAGTGCTTTGTAGTAATTACTAGGTTTCATAAATTATGTTAGAGGGGAAAAAATTGCAGATGCTGGACCATTAGCAGCTTTCTTAAATTGAATTCCCCAGTAATCTTAATTATATTCCCTCGTTTTCGTCGTCACAACAAAATCACACACAAAAACAAACTCCATTTTTGACATTGACAGTTCGTATTTTTTTTACAACGCTGTTTTTTTCCAAAGACTGTAAGGAAACAATTGTTCGTTCCACAAGTGGCACTAAACTTGTTATGGGGCTGTTGTTTAGTTGATTGTGTGCAACGGGACCATTCCCACCTCTCGTTCCCACCACTGCAACTCTTGTTTGTGTGCAGTGTGCACCAATCCTTACTGAAAAAGTTTTAGACAAAAATTGCTTCGATCATAGAGGATTTAAAGACCTTGATGGATGATGCCAGAGGCCCTAAACCATAAAGTTAATATAACATTATGACCTAAACAAGTGGCTACATTAATTAATTAACCCTAAATTAATCGATTGAAACTTGAAACCATTTTAAATTGTACAACTGTTGTTCTTCGCATTGAAAAAATACGATACGACCGAAACGATTATTATACGATGTACTTACTTCATTATTGCTATAAGCTCAGTGATCATTTCGATGGTTTCTTTTCCATATCTGTGGTTTCTTTCGATCTTTAAAAAAAAATTAACTGTCAATGTCAGTTTCATTTTTTAGGTTATAATTCCCGAATTTTCAATAATATCAAGATTTTGAAAAAGTAATTAATATTTTTATACATTATTTTGTAGATTTAAAGATATAATTTTCACAAATATATCCACTTTCATATCAGTGACCATATTATACTTAATGAAAAAAGTCTTGATTTCTACAATTTGTAGGACGGCCACGATAGGTCCAAAATGGCGTGTTGCTTTTGCATGATAAACACTACCAACACACAATACATGTTTTAATTAATACGCTTAGTTTTGACTAATTATTAAATTAGAGTTATCGCTATTTTATTTGACTGGTAACGTGAGTGCAATAATCTCGTGTTCATGATAACAAGTAACTTAAGCTTGGTGAGATATGAAGGAAGTGATATTAGCTATTCTAACCTTCCTATGTAGCATATTTTTAGTTTTTGTCTTTGTGTTCTTTTGTAAGTAGCCCAATTTGTCATAATTATATTCATAAGATTGAGTTATAGTCTGGATCACAGTCACTCATCATGAAATCATGGACTGTATGTACAATAAGTATGAAAATGTCTATGTTCTTTGTTCTAGGTTGGTATGTTGTATGGAAGTGTTGTCTATCTAAGTTCAGATTTGTGAGGGAGTTGCTGGGTGGTATGTCAGACACCCCACCAGCTTCAGAAACTAGACAACCGAATAAGTTAAGGAAAATTAGAAAAGACTAGGACTAACAAAGAGGTAAAAAACATTAGTAATATTTGATAAAGTTTCATCATCATTATTACTGATGACATTTACAGTAATTTAATTGTTATTGTTATTAGATCAAAATGAACATCCGTTGTGCACGCCCCAGCGACCTCATGAACATGCAACACTGCAACTTGCTGTGTTTGCCAGAGAACTATCAGATGAAATATTACTTCTACCATGGCTTGTCTTGGCCACAGCTTAGCTACGTAGCTGAGGATGAGAAAGGACACATTGTTGGTAATAATAACTTCTTACATCATCATTTTAGCAATAGGACATCCCAGTGGATGGATGGAGTGGATCTTTGAGGGAAACCTATATTCAGCACTGAACATATAGGCTTCCCTCAAAGATTTTTTATTTACTGAATAGGAAGTCTGATATAAAACAAATCAATGTGATTTAGACTTTGTATTGATTAAATGATTTTGAAAGCCAAGATAGAGAAATTTAAGGAAGGTCTATAAAAATATAAATTCATAATATTTATTCCAGGCTATGTTTTGGCTAAAATGGAGGAAGATGGAGAAGATAATCGTCATGGTCACATAACATCTCTGGCTGTTAAACGGTCGCATCGCAGACTTGGCCTTGCTCAAAAATTAATGAATCAAGCTTCACTAGCCATGGTAGAGTGCTTTCAGGTAAATATATTTTCTTAAATTGTTTAAATATAATGTCGAATGTATAAAATGTGTAATTATTATACTTTGTTTCAGGCCAAATATGTATCGCTGCATGTAAGGAAAAGCAACAGAGCAGCTCTCAACCTTTACACAAACTCACTTGGTTTCAAAATACTTGAAATTGAACCTAAATATTATGCAGACGGTGAAGATGCATATTCTATGATGAGGGATCTTAGTGCTTTCGCAGCTGAAAGTAAGTCAGAGAGTCAATCTGACAATTTGGAAATCAAGTCTGAGTCATCTATTATATCACAGTGCTAATAAATATGTATAAGGCATTAAATAAATTTATTTAAATGCAATTGTATTTTTATTCATCATCCATGCAATAAGAGAATATCCTTTGTGTGTGATAATGTAACACAATTCATAAAAAAGATTTGTTTTTAGAATAAAGGTAAATTTCATTGAGGAGCATTAGAGACTGACCATACCTACTATAAAAATAATATTTCCTTACTGTTAATTAGATATAAACATCCCATTGAGACATTATCGCCACCTTTTCATAACAGCAAAACCTAAGTTGGTGTCTTAGGTAGTGTTGTACCTACTTACCAAAGTATATTACTTTTATACTGTAGTTTACTTTCTATTAGGCAGCTAGGTAATAATGTCAACAAATGAAATAATACATAAGGCTATGTAGTACAAAGTAAGTTTAATAACTAAACTTAGTTCCTAAATATTATTGAAGTATAAACTTAATTACAAGTAATAAATAAATATAAAATTAGTCTTCTTCATCTTCAAACAGGTGTTGCAGTTTTAGTTCCACCTTTCTAACATTATCAGCATGATCTTGGGGTGTTTTTGTAGCCTTTTGTTTCTTTTCCTTTTTCTGAGATACTCCAACAACATACTCTGGCATGACAACTTTGTTACTCTTAAAGACAACCTTCTCATCCTCTTCCTTTGGCTTCTTAAGTACCTTCTTTATGACTGAAGACATGTAGAAAGTAGGTTTTTTGAAAACAAAATCATCTTCAACTTGTTTCCCATTTATTTTTGACGCTTCTTGTTCTTCTAATTCACGAATGAAAGTTTGAGCTGTAACCATATTAGTAGCGTCCGACATTTGTTCAGGGGTAACATCTGATAATGAATAATAAACCCATTTCTGTGGATTTTTCATATAATCTGGAATCTTTCTTGCTCTCAAACAATCCCTTAAATTTTCTTGTGGTTTTTTGAATATACTCTCTTTGCCTCTGAACTGCTTCATTTCATTTTTACGTTTTCGTACCGCTTTTTTGTCTACTACGTTGAAATTTTGAGTAGCAGGTGCTTTGTTTGTTTTAGAAAAACTGTATTGCTCTTCAGCATCTTTCAAGTGATTGAAAAGACTTTTTTGCCTCTCCAGAAACGATGACATTGTGGGTAGGCTGATATACCTAAGCCTGATATTAAATTAGACTAAAGTGATAAGTGCGATTCATCAATATTATTAAATAGACCACTTATTTTTGCAAATGAAAGATAATTCCTTTCTAGGAATTAAATAATTTTGTAAGAAAGGCGATGTTTTTTTACTCGTTTTGACAATTGTTGACATTGAGATTGACAACTTTGACAGTATCATCTTTATTTTTTACACTGGCAATAATTTCGTAAGAAAATATGTACAGAGTAGCTATTGGCTATCTTTTAGAAAGTTACCAACTAAATAATAATATACATCATACCACATACGTTCTTGGTTGGAGTAGCCATTGTAGTCATACAGGATGTTTTACGTTTTTACTTCAATGTTTTCGAGACTTTATTATGATTTAAAAAATTGGTTTTTATTAAATGCGGGTCCAGCGCTACACAGGAGTTGCTACATGGAACGAGAGATGAGAATAGGAAGCATCTACTAGTCCCGTGCCCTGGCGCTTCTTCACCAGTTGCGCTCCGTTTTTCATTCCATCCGAGGTGCAAATTTGGTATCGTGGTAAAGTTCACGGGCAAACAAAGACGAAACAACGGATTTAATCACTTTCCAATAAAGTCAGAACACCTTATTTTTTCACTAAAAAAACATCAAGATTTTTCCCTAGTTGGCTTTTTAGCCATTTTAACTTTAGTGTCTCAATTAAATAAATAAAAATATTCATGTAATTGTTTTTATAGTCATTTAGGTACCATCGGCCACAGTGTTAACTATCCATTGTCTGTCATGTCGTCTCGTTCTATCGCAAATAATCACCATTTGATTAGAGCGAGAGCAAAAACGGAAATGGATAGTTAACAGTGTGGCCGTGTGTACCTACCTTGCGGACCCTTGCGGGCTGCGATCGTATTTGAGTGATATTCTATACCTAGCTTTTGCCTGCGGCTTCGGTTGCGTGAATTTTGCCACGCAATGGGGATGTTGCCTGGGTCAAAAAGCAAGAGTTTTAATTAGTCCGTCAGTTAACTTATCAAAAAATACTCTACACGTATTTTTCACTTTTTCAAACTAATGAAAATTTAAAGAGATAAAGCGCCCAAAGTTCATAAGAAGAGGCCCGTGACGTCAACGCTTGCTTAAAAATGCCGCACGTTGTGACGTCGTGCGCAACTTCAACGCACCATAACTATGTAATTATTTGTTAGATTGACAAATAAAAATATATGTGTCCATTATTTTTTTATATTAAACATTACGGACTAAAAAAAATTTTTTAGGCAACTAGCCTATTTTTGTTTGTTTCTTCTCTCCTTAAAAACCTTCCGTGGGCTATAAAAATACCAAATTTATTGGTCTACTTAGCCGTTTTTGAGTTTTGCTTTTAGAGCAACGTTCATGTAAACCTAATGATTCAAGTTGCTTACTACTTAAAGCATAGGTAAAGGTCTAATAAAAGTGATACCTTTTTCTTGAAAGGGGAATACTCGTAAACTTATGTAACTTTTGTGATACTTACTTAGTAGTACCTACAGTCGAGTTAAATGAGTTAAATATTTAGCGTTTTAACGATCTTATATTTGAATACAAACTCAAACATTAAATAAAATTAATCATATTGTAAGTACATAAAAATGTTGCGCAGTCAATACACTGCGCTACTGCGCTACAATAATTTTGAAATTACTACGTTGGTAACTAATGGGTACCGACCGACTTATACTTATTTCTTATTATTATGAAGTAAGTATCAGAATTATTTACATTACTTTTATTGTTATAAACTCAAATATTTTTTGCTCTAGATTTATCAGAGGATTGTTCGATTGAAGTTCGAAAAGATTTATGTTTTCTTGTTCGAAGAATCGTTTCTATTAGACCATAAAAATACGTAATTTAACGCTACTTTTTGTGTTAACCTAAATTAAATGGCTTTACATAATTATTTATCGTTACACAGCAATTCCATCTGAACACGATGCAGGTAAATGAACTTAAGGATCTGTGCTGCCTTAAATCTTATAGGTACACCAAGATTTTCCAATAGCTTGGTAATAACAAAAGGTCACATCTAACTTTAGTGATAAATGTGTCCGTTATTGTCTAATTGTTGGCAATGATACCTAGGCTTAGAACATTATCTATACTTCTATACCTACTAATATAAATGCGAAAGTAACTCTGTCTGTCTGTCTATCTGAACCGATTTTGATGAAATTTAGCATAGAGATAGTTTAAGTCCCGGGAAAGGACATAGGATAGTTTTTATCCCGGTTTTTGAAACAGGCACGCGCGCGATAAAGGTTTTCTGTTACAGACAAAATTCTACGCGGGCGAAGCCGCGGGCGGAAAGCTAGTTTTTGTTATAAAATTCGCCTAATGCCTTTCACGGATTCACCTCTAACCACCAGTCAGTGCGCGCCAGTTAGAGACTCACGTCCCACCTTATGCAGTTGATTTTTAAGTAAAAAGTAGGTACCTATAATTATGAAATATACTTAGGTACTTACTTAGTTTGAACATTATGATTCCAATAAAATCAATAACTAAGCAACTTAAGTCAATCTTACTTAGTACCTAATCCGATCATACAAAATTGAATCCCGCTGAAACTACGATTCAATTATTTCTGATATAGGTAGGAATATTCATGCGCGGTTAAATATACTTAGATGGACCTTGACCAATATTGGGCTTAGGATGGTACCTTACGGGTTTCGGCTTAGTTAAGGATTAGGCTGTGTTTGCTTGGAGTTACACAGCATGAGTGAAGGAGCCAGGCTATGCAGAGTGTCAACGGGAAAATATACATTTGCGATATAAAATATCCTGTCGATTAATTAATTTATTAATGGTCGAAAATCGGGCTGTTTACTGTATTGATAACTTTAAAAAATAGTTCGTACATGAAAGAAAAAAATAAGTTAGGGTTATTTTATTTCAATCAAATGTCTCTAATAGGTAAGTCTGATTTGTTATAAAGTTTTAACCCTTAAAGCTGTTGCCGCCTTTTAAAAATGTATTTTTTCAAATTGTAAGTAAAGTACCTAGGTAGTAGGTAGTAGGTACTATTGTTGTAACTTACGAGTACCTAAGTTTGAAGTCCAGTGACCTGTTCGGTTTGCTTAGATGAGCTATACTTGCGACCGCTTTTGGCTGTAAGCTGCCGATTAGATAATGGTTTAGTTCGGGTAAACATTACTTTAAAGTTCGCTATCGCTGTTAATATTTAACTGAACATTCAGTGATCGCGGCCGAGATGACTAATTAAGTAAATGTAACTGCGGTTATCTGCAAATAGTGCCCTCGATGTTATCTTTTTGTAGATCTACATTAGGTAGGAGAAATTACAGTAGAATTTTGTATTCTTTTATGGGTTCCAATTACCTATAGGTTTCAGGGGTTACCAGTAAAAATTCCTTAGAAGAAAATATGAAAAGTGACTTTAGATGACGTAATTGCTTGCTTCTGAAATAATTATATTGTGGTAACGACGGCCAACTACGGAACCCTAAACTGCGCCTGGCACGACACGCATTTGGCCAATTTTTAAAAATAATAAAGACCCTATTTGACACAAAATGTAGTAGGTAAATATTTGTCCACTTTCCAACAATCAGTATCGAACAAAAAACTAGGCATGCCAATTTTGAATAAACAAAATATTTTTTGTCTCTTGATTTAGCTGTTTCCTTTTAAAATAATTATTGATTGTGGTTTATTGTCACTTGGGCATTGATACCACATCATAATTACAGCACGTACAAAATGAGTTTACTAACACAAATTATATCTTCTTACGGGCCGGAACAGCCTCTAAACTGAAGACCGGAAACCGGAATAAGCTGGCGGTCAATTGAACTATGTATATTAATATGCCTTTCATTTTAAAATAGAACCAAATAAAGTAATAAACTGCTAACAAGCCACGAGATTAAAACCTCGAGTGAACAATAATGTCTTCTCGGCTACTGTTGCGTTACAGTTTGTTCCGAGTAGGGTGACCCTATTCATAGGTGGACACCTTTTTGTTAATATTTAAGTAATTAAATGATGTAGGTTGTGTAATTATATATGTATTTAAGTAGTTTACCATAAGGTTTGAATAATTGTAATTTGTAAAAATATTGTTGTTTTTAAAATAAAATATATTTTAGTATAATATTACTCGGTTAAATTGCCAACTTAGGTATTTGTATCCTATTAATAGTTAAGTATTGGTAAAATGTTGTATGGAAAATATGGAAATGTGCATTATTAGGATGCCGTATGTATAACTTAATGCAAGTTTGCCTTATGCTCCAATATAAATAAATAAATCATTAGTGTCGGTCGAGGCAGAAATCTACACTTGTTATTATTTCAGGGAAACCATTTTAGGCACAGACTGTGAAATCCTGAGAGAAAGTACTGTGTTCCATTCACAAAGTGTGGTGACTGTAGCCATGAATCAGTCAACGTAACTGCGCGCGAGTCGATTTGCGTACGTGCCGAAAACTCAGGCACCAGCCACTCGACAATCGACCTTATTGTAGTATGATCAATGAACAAGTGATTTCTGGAACGTGTCTCATAAATATTACCATAAGTTTAAGTACTTATGTATGAGGGATTTGTGACTGGTTATGAAGACCACACATCAAAGTTAGGTAGGTAGGTACTCTAAAAACTGTAGACATTCCTTGTGATTAAAATGTTGAATCTTGATTTTAACTCACTAACTAAGTACTCGCAGTAACCTTGCTATCTTTAAAGTTACCGAATTGATAGTTATGCAAAAAGGAGATCCAAAGAGAAGTGCATAATATTCCTGAGCGTAATAAGCTCTTGTTGTTCAGAAAGTCATAGAGTCAAATATTTAAAAGCTATGTAAGTACATACTTACTTAAGTTACTTACGAAAGGGTATTTTGAAAATTAATGTAAAACAAGTAGGTTACCTAAGTATTTTGAAGTGGTGATGAAATTATTTCAGCTTAGGTGAAATAAACACTGGGTAGGTACCCCAAAAATATATTCATATTATCTTTAAATTCGTTACTTTTCTTTGGGTAGGGGTTCGACTGAAAACAAAAATGTAATGTTACTATGGCTTCATCCACGGTCCAAAAAACGTGCCTCTCAATTCAATATTGCACAAATCCATCTCCCCTACAGTATGTCGCAATCCACCAGGGGCAC